TAAGCAAAGCTTTATTTCGCGCCAAGCATCAAAAATCAAACTGACCAGTCGGGGCCTGTCTCTTACAAAAAGGCGACGATGACCAGTACACCGACCCCAATGATGACCAGGACACCGACCCCGACAATTTCCCTTACCTGGGGAGGCCGCTCCCCAGGGAGGCTCATGATGCTCCCAACAATCCCGACGCTCCTGATGATGCTGCTCCCACGCTCCAGACGACACTGCTCCCGATGCTATCACTACCCCCCTACAACTACTCCTACAACTCCACCCCAGCCTCACAGACTAACCTTTATACAGATGGTTGAGCCTGGCCCACACACAGGTGGCCAATGAAACTGCAACACACAGGGAAAACTGCACAGTCACGCTCGGTCAGCAATACGGGTGGCCAATTGAATTCCAATTCACCATAGCAAATATATGCATGCCCCACTGATTGGATGTCTCCCTTCGGCTGGCCCGCCCCCATATCCAGGGCCTGCAAGCAAGTTCCTCCGGGAGGGGCAGGGTTAAACCAAGCCCACAATGAAATGGCTCCCTCTGGCCAAACAGGCCCCTATACTTGGAGCAGACATTACTCTTGGCCCTGTGAGATTACCCATCAGTGTTTCTGCTGATCCTTTCAGGAGGTTCTCTCTGTGGTTTTGGGTAGTGTTATGGTCTGAATGTGTGTTTCACTCCCAAAATTCGTATTTTGAAATCCTAGCCCCCAAAGATGATGGATTAGTAGATAGGGCCTTTGGGGAGTGCTTAAGTCATGAGCATGGAACTCTCATGAGTGGAATTAGTTAGCCTTATGAAAGAGGCTTCAGAAAGCTCCCTGCTTTCCACCATGTGAGAGCTACAGTAAGAAGTCTGCCACCAGAAGAGGGCCCTCACCCAACCATGTCCGCACCTGATCCCAGACTTCCAGCCTCCAGAACTGTGAGAAATGGATTTCTGTTGTTTATAAGCTGCCAGGTAATGATATTTTATTATAGCAGCCCGAATGGATTGAGACAGGGGGTTTCCTCACACATATGTGCTGACCAGCATTCTTTTGAATACCTGAGAGGGACCCTCTGCAGCTCTCCTCTCTCTCATACTCTGTCCTGTGAACTGCAGTTCCCTTGATCCCCTCAGACTCTCAGCTTCTCAAGTCAGGCAGCAGTCCACTGGACTCCCTGCACTGGGCCTAAAACCCTTTCCAGGCACTAAACTGAGAAAATTGTAGATCTCATTTGTTCCCAAGTCTTCAGGATCACTGTCCTTCATGGTTTGGTCCTGGTATTGTTTCATATATTTTGTTCAGACTTTTTGTAATTGTTTTAGTAAGGAGAATGAAGTTGGTCCATTTTTCTCCATCTTCGGAAGGGCTTTTTCAATGTTTGCTTTTTATTTCTACTTTTACTGCTTTGTGATCAGAGAATTCAGTTTGTAATATTCCTACTATGGAACCTATTTATGTTTCCCTTGTGATATAATATATGATCAATTTTGATGAATATTTCATGTCTGCTTGAGACGAAAGCATATTCTTTATTGAAGGGTATAGCATTTAGTACATATTTATGAAATCTAATTTATCGTTAATGTTGGTTAAGTCTTCTCTATTCATACTTATTTTTTGTTCACATGCCCTTCTTGGCCTGAGAATGGTATGTAAAACTGTCTTATCATTATTATTTCTATTTTTCCTCGCATTGCTGTCATTTCCATTTCATGGAGAAGTGGTTTCTGTGTAATCTGGTACGTAGATATTAATAACTGATATATTTTATTGTAGTTTGTGGCTTTTTGCATTATATTTTTATTTGTCTCATTTCATGCTTTTTGGCCTAAATTCTGCACTAATATTAAGTTTGCTACCCTTCTTTCGAATTGTTCTATTTAGCTAGTGTGACTTTTCCTATTCTCTTTTATCTTTTAGCCTTTGAATAACTTTGTTTTAAATGTTTCTTCTAGTGCTCTCTTTGGCAGCACATATAATAAAATTGTAATGATACAGAGATTAGCATGGCCCCTGCGCAAGGATGACACACAAATTCATGAAGCATTCCATATTATTAAAAAATAAATAAATATAACAAATAAACAAACAAATAAATATTTCTTCTATATGTAGAAGAAACTGGTGTTTTGCTCCGTAAGATATTTTGAAAATCTATTTCTTTTACTGAACAAGTTAATCTCCTTCAAATTTATTGATATGACTATATTGGTATCAATTTTATGTTATATTTACTTTGTTTTTTTCTATGTCTCCTTTGCTTTTTTTTTTAATAAAAATTGCTTTGATATTTACAGAAGTGTACATATTTGCTCTAATAGTAATCTTTGTATTGATATCGTTTAAAATATCCTGATTTACCTTTTTTATCACTTAACTATGAACTATCTGAACTGTCTAGATTGCTGATTCTAAATGGTATCATTTGATTCCTATCTGTTTCTATGGAGCAATGACCTTATTCTAGTTTGGTCTTTGTCTGTCTTCCTTCCTGGCTCAAGTTTTAAGTTACATTCTTTCTACTTGGTCAGAACATAAGCCATTTACAAGTTATTTTCCACCTTTGCCCCTGATCCTTGTTTAACTTTTAGATCTACATGCTCTAAATATACTTTAAATATACCACATACTTGCCATCATTCTTGCCAGAAGTTCCCCTCACCAGTCACCTCTTGATCAGATAGAATCCATCCTCTAGCAGGTTATCTCAGAAGGGCTCATGTGTACAGATTTCTCTCACTCCTTGTATATATAATTTTTCAATAGCCTTGAATGATAGCTATGCAGCATGTAAAGTCCTTGGCTTACAACTTACTTCCTTTCTTTTGGTTATCCGAAAATAATGCTCCATTCTTGTCTTGCTTTGCGTGTTGCTCTCAAATATCCTGATGCCAATACAATTTGCATACTCTTTTAGGTATTGTGGCTAATGTGTCTGGAGGCCTTGAGTATGAGTATTTAAAGACTTTGTCTTTAAAGTCTAATAATTGGGTAGGCTTTGTCTGTGAGTTGATCATTCTCAATTTTCCCAGGTGCAACCTTGACCTTTACATAAATTTAGGTTTTCTCCTATTTCTATAAGGGTTCTTGAATTCTGCTTTTTGTTGTTGTTGTTTAAGATTTTATTTATTTATTTCACACACACAGAGAGAGAGACAGCAAGAGAGGGAATACAAGCAAGGGGAGTGAGAGAGAGGGAAGCAGGCTTCCCACTGAGCAGGGAGCCCAATGCGGGGCTTGATCCCAGGACCCTGGGATCATGACCTGAGCTGAAGGCAGATGCTTAATGATTGAGCCACCTAGGTGCCCCTGAATTCTGCTTTTAATATATTAGTTCTACTCCATTGTTCCCTCCAATTTTCAGGGACTCCAATGTTCTTGAACATGGGGAAAGAGGTGGGATATAGTAGAAAAGTGGAGGAACTAGTTTGAGGTAGGAGCACAGCTAGCTCATTACTACAATGGTCAAGAAAAGAGAGTGTGGAAATGGATGCTGACAGGTGGTCTAAGGAAGCACACTTTTAGTTGCTTTGGTTTTCTCAGTGATAAGGAAGCAAGATTAAAGCTAACTCTCTAATTCTCCCCACCCGGAAAAAGGATGGTGAAGAGTCCATTTTCCAAATTTAGATTTGTGGCCTGAATATGAATCATTTACCAAAATTTGTGAACTATGTTCCCCGAAGGAGCTCTACCTAGTAGAACACCCAGAGCTGCTTGCTCCTGGGATTTGTTAATGTCCAGAGGGACCGAAATACAGCACTGATGGGGAATATGAATGGAGGGAGAGGCTAGGCACACCTCTGCCAGGAATCTGGAGGATTGTCTGTGGGAGGTATGATGACCTGCCTTGTAGTGCTTTGGAAGCAGTAAGAGAAAGACACAAGGACATGGCTTTGAGGGAATATAAGAAAGTATAAGGGGCTGGGTAAGGCTGTTGTGTGAGGTAGTGAATCCTCACTCCCAGGGAGTATTCCTTAAGTGGCTGAACATCATGATGTCAGGGATGCTGGCTTAGGAGATCCCTGGGTCAGCAGGGTGATTGCCAAATAGTCTCCATAGCAACTCCAAGTTGATTATTCACTTTCTCTCTCCATCCAAACCCCCTGTCAACAGCTCTTGTCCACTCTACCTTCAACATATATTCAGAATGCAACCATTTCTAGCTTCCTCCATCAGACCCCCCCTGGACCAATAAATACATGGTTTTGTCTCTCCTGAATTATTTCAATAGTCTTCTAGATGGTTTTTCTGCTTTCTTCTTGGCCCCCACTCCCTTAATCCCAATCTATTCTCAAAACAGCAGTCAGACTGATCCGTTAAACTATAAGTCAGATAAGGCCACTCCTCTGTGTCAAATTCCACACTACCCATAGTCCTAACAATGGCCTTCACAGTCACATGTGATCTCTCCCATGGCCTCCAGCCCCAGCCAGCCAACAGCATGCCTCCCTGCCCTGCGCTTCCTGCTCACTTACATAGGCCCATTGTTATTCCTCAGACATACCAGCCATGCTCTGTCTGCCCTCAGAGGGTCTTGGCAACTTTTTCTTCCTGGAATACTTCTGCCTCAGATATTTAGAGAGCTTACTTTTTTTCTACTTTCTCCTTAGATTCCATTACCTGTTCAGAGAAGCTCTGCCTGTCCACCCTTTATAAAGAAGCACTCCCATTCTTTTGTGTTCCTTTATTTTGCACAATAGTATTTATCGCCTACCTATTATATATTTAATTATTTGTTTATATTCTGACTACTTTGTCTGGCAGTGGATTTGTCTGGTTTTCATTGCTAAATTCTCAGTGTCTAGAAGGGGCCTGCTATAGACAGAACCGGTGCTCAAGAAATATTTGTTAAGAGGATGAATACATGAATCGGTGTGATTGTGTTTTCAGGAGGACGCAGGACAATCTGACAATCAGCCAGGACTTGTCTCCTTCCTCTTGGAGGCAGGAGAAGGACCAAGGCTTTTATAACTCAATAAGTCTTTAAAATCTTATTATGTTCCAGTTCCAGGTAGGATGAAGTAAACACAAGGCTGTCTCTCTCCCTCCCTGGGTATAAAACCTGGACAGAGTACATGTTGCAGCTATCTGAAGTCTCTGAACAGTAAGTACCAGCAAGTGGACTGGGGCCTGGGGAGCCAGGAGTCCAAGGACCACCAAACTGGTCATGAATGGGACATATTTTGTACTTGGGTCTCTGCTGAGCAAGACTTAGCATAGCCTGACACCTCAAGTCAGTGCTTGGTGAGAGATACAGAAGAAATACAGAAGCAACCCTCTGGTTCTGGTCAGAGCAGTGAAACTGGGAACTCCTACAACGCAGAGCATAGGTGCAGGGGTGGGGAGCTCTGATTTTTTCCTTTTGCTTTTCTCCACTCTTGCGTCCCAGCCATCAGGGGGTGGGGGTGGGGGTCCATGGCAGGAGCAGAAGTGGTGGCAAACATGGCTGTCAATGTAAAAAGGCAAGGGCTAGGACTCTGAGGAAGGGAAGCCTGGATTCTGAACTCAGGGTGCTCTTTCCTCCCACTTTCAGGGCTGCATCCCACCCAGCGGCACTTCAGGACTCTTGATACTTGTCACTCTTACCTGTCACTTTTTAAACCAAATCTGTGCGGTTGGGGGTACAACATGCTCTCGAGGACATAGCAGCTGTCACGTTTGGGACCAGTCAAAAAGTCTGGCCCCAGGCCCCCTGCACCCCAAAGATACCCCATGTCCGGGACCTGCTCATCACCCCATCCAGGCCCTGGCCTCTTCAGAGGAAGAACTGGGCTGGCCAGTTGGATCAGAATGTAGAGCCACCAACCTTCTAATAACTGTCTTGGTCTCTGGGTCAGCTGTGACAGCCTGAATATAGGGAATGGGTAAAGCTGGAGCCCAGGGGAAGGGACAGAGCAGGACCTCTGAGACCTGACCTTACAGAATGTTTCAAGGGCACTGGATGGGCCAAGCCATGGCATCTGTGATGAAAGATGGGCATCTGAGAGACAACCTCACTCAGAGGCTGCATGAAGAGGAAGAGGAAGGCTCTTAGCAGTGTACAAGGGGGGCGAGGGGCAGGGAGGAGCTTGTGTTTCTTTACACAGCTCCTTCTAAGCACTTCATATGCACTATGCCAGTTAATCCTCACTAAACCTGTGACATGGGGTAGGTCACCTATTTTCCAGAGGGGTAAATTGAGGCACAGAGCAGTTAAACCTCTATGCTGAAGGTCGTGGTCCTGGCAAGTGATAGGGCTGAGTAAGCCTTCAATAAACACATTTGCCTCCATTGGAATTGGTATGAACAAAACTTAGAAAATTCTTTGATTCCTAGACTTTTGAATCCCAACCCATGGGCCATGAACTTTAGAAGGCAGAAACCAGCAGCCATGTGAGGGAGATGTAGAAATCACAACAGTTCACATTTAGTGGTTTGCTGAATACAAGACACTCTGCCCCCTGTCATGAGAAATGAAAGAACACCAGCTATGCCCATGGGACCTACACAGGTCTCCCTGAGGAATTTATCTCTGACTGACAAAGACTGCTGGGTTTTCCACACATCTCCCCTGGTTGCCTTGTCTTTGAAGAATGCGCTGCCAGGCAAGGATGGACTGGCCAAGTTCCTCGTGGGCCATGGGGGCCCTCTCAGCTGAGAGAATTCATGGCCCATTCTGAGGTTCCCTGAAGGCCTCATTTATCCCAGAAAGAGACTAAAGGAGTCCAAGTAGGAGTCAGTCAAGACAGACTGCTGTTTCTGAGGAGGAGGAAGTCTGAGGAACAAACCCCAGCTTTTGGGTTGAGGGGTGCTATGGTCCCGTGGGCTTGCAAGGGAGAGTGCCTCAGGCAGTGGGCCGGGGACAGCAGGAGTTTCTTTCGAAGGCCCAAATCAAGGGGGCTGCTTGTCCCTTCCTGAGTGAGGGGCTTTAGTTTGGGCCTCAGTTCTTTAATTGGTAAATGACAATGAAGAGAGATCTAGCTCAGGGAAATGTGTCATTACAAGCTGAGAAGTACAGAGTAATTAAATATATAACACATAGAACTGGCGAAGCAGAAGTGCTAACAGCCTCCCTTGTATTAATTATGGGTGCTACTGAGCACATTGTCATCATTTACTTCATATTCATGATAATAGTCAGTATGTTGTGTTCTAGAAACACAAGGCTGGCATGGTCAGAACCTCGGAGGCCATCCAGCTTAGTCTCCCTTATCTGATATTAGAACTCTCTAGCTACTGTTCATGCCAAGGAACACAGATTTTACCTTGAATAGTAATGAGCACTCAGGAATGAGCAGAATTCATCTGGGGAATGGAGGAGGGGTTCTCATGCCCCTCCCCCTCCAGGCAGCCAGAGCTATCGGATCCATTCTTGCCCTCTTGGATCCCTGAGTGCGGGTAGAGCCAGCATTCAGCCTGGTCTGTGGTCACCATCCAAAGAGGAAAAGCAGATCTGGATGAAGACGTGGACTGGGAAAATTTTGTGGCATTTGCTATCCTCTCAGCCCAGTGCTAAGGGAAGAAGGAAGGGCAGAGAGGCCCAAGGGGGTGAGGATGTGGGGGTGGTCCCAGGCCCAGAAGGCCCCAAAGGAAATGAGCCCAAATATTCCAGCTATCTACCAAAAGGCCCGGAAGAGCTGTTGGTATCTCCGCAGAGCTACATGTGACAAATATGGCGGGGGGCGCCAATTCCCTGTGAATCCCAGCCCCCTGCCACGATGAAGATCACACCCCTGCCATATGCATCAGTTACCTAGGAGTCATGCGTTCCCACAGTTGTAATCACTAAGCAGCCACACCAGGGAGGAATGCTGCCCCACTGGCCCCGAGACTTGACCAGTACCTGAGAATGGTCGGAGGTCCCGTTCCCTCATGTTGACAGAACCCCCTCCACAAAATGTGAGGATGCCCAGGAAGGTGATCCCACTCCTTCGAGGAGCTGTTGTTCTGCTGTGGGGGCATTGAGGCCACAGCAGGTGGTCACTGATGGAAGGGGAAATAGAGGCAGCCATGGACCAGGCTCCCTTCCCTTTGATTCTTACCTCTCCTCTCTCCCAAGCCCAGTCTGCCTGGGTGGGTGGAAGATAAACAGACTCTTGTTTCAGCTGAAGCAGGAAGGAGTAAGATAGAAAAAACTCCCTTAAAGTAAACTTGTCCACCCCAGCCTGCTGCAAGACAGGCTCTGTGGGAGCCTGGATGTCCCCTGGCCCCCCAGCCATGGGGGAAGCGGAAGTTCTGGGCTCAGCCACAAGGCAGGCCACAGGTGCGCCAGGACACTTGGCCAGGGTGCAGGAGCTCGTCCACTCCAGGAGCTTGATTTCACATGGTTGTAAGTAGAGGGGCGGAGCTGACCTGCAGGACTCAGAGGGGAAGAAGGGGAGCAGGAATGGTGGGAAGGGACCCACTTTCTTCTTGTACCAGGACCCCAGCGCACACCTCAGCCCCTCCCTTCTGAGCAGCCCTGAGGTCCTTCACTGGAGAAATGAGGAGGAGGAGGAGGAGGGCTCTTCTCTGGCTGTCTCTGCTTTCCCTTCTCGCTCAAGTGGGATGTGGAGGGGCCCAGGTCCTATGGGCAGGTCCTTTCCCAGGAAACTGGAGCTCAGCAGCACAGGGAGGGAAGGAGCCTGGGAAGGGCTGGGTGGGGGCTCTCTACAACTGGGAACAGTGGCTTTTCCACATTCATCTCTTTGTATGAGGGGGGGTGGTCTCCTGCTCTGTGTTCTGCTTGACTGCTACTGTGGGCTTTGATTCCTGTGAAAGAGAATGATGATGGGGAGACACCTGGAAGGCAGGTGGGAGAGACACGGAGGCAGTCTCCAAGTCAGGCCCAGCCTGTGTCCCTGTCCCCCAGCCAGCTGGTCACCCAGATTAAGTCTCTCCCCTGAAACACAGGGGGAGGAGGTTGGGGTGGGGAGAGGCCATCTTTAGATCATCTTAAAGGAAAGGAAATGGCAGACCAGAGAGGTCTGGGTATTTGGTTCAGGTTCCCCACAGAGCATAGAAGGGAGCCCCTGGCCTTGCAGAGGAGATCTCCTGCCCCCAGTTGGGCAGTTCTGTCCTGTTCAGCTCAAGCCCCCACTTGTCACAGTGGGAAGGGAGGTGAGGAAAGGAAGTGCAAAGGAAGCCACTGAAAAACATCCCACAACCCCCCGGGGGAGTCAGCCTCTGGCTCAGGCTGGGACTGGCATGGCAGTTCCTCCAGGTTTGCCCTGCTCCTGGAAGTCCTGCACTCTCCTGCCACCCGCAGGGTCATCCCCTCTGGAAAGGAGGATGGCATCCTTCCACGGGAGATAAAATACACAGGTAACAGGGTGACGGACATTAAGGAGGGCGTGTGATATAATGGACCTGGGTGTTATGTAAGACTGAGGAATCATTGACCTCTACCTCTGAAACTAATAATGCACTATATATTAATAAACTGACTGACAGAGGACAAGGATGTGGGGCATGTTGGCAGTTGTGACAGGAAGGATTTCAGAGACTTGCACCCAGGTCTTCCAGAATGTCTCAGGGCACGATCCTCCTGCCCTCTGCTCTGGAGAGCTTTGCTGAGCCCTTTCCATTCTGTGTGCTGCTCTGGGCCGGGGGGGAGGGTCCTTCACATGGAAGCAGGGGCTTAGGGGACCTGCCAGGCCAATGAGGACCAGTCCTGCCCCTCGCCACTAGGGCCAGATCTGAGGTAGGCTCCCACTTACGTCTCCACCTTCTGCTCCGGGAAGAGATTTTATTGAACTTCTTGGTCTTTAACCATGAAGAGGGTTGGGTATTCTGCTCTTCTGATTGTATGAATGACCACACACACACACACACACACACACACACACACACACACAAGTACTTGGAGCATCCTTGAAATTAGTCAGGCCTGAGTGCCGGAGAACAAGGGTCATATCCGTTAGAGTTTCACTGTACCTTGACCATCACAGACCACAGGTGCTTCATCATCCTGCATTTCCCACATACCTCCCGTTGGAATGGGATGCCCAAGCTCGGAGGAGGAGGCACTAGGTCAGAACAACCAGAAGCACAGGTTCTTGCAGTCCCCCTCTTCCTCCGTCTTCTTGTCTGGGCAGAGATGACATCCCCTCCTCCAGATGGGTCCTGGCCTACAAGTGATAAGGTGGGGGCCAGGGAGCTTGGGTGAAAGGGGAGCCCCATCCATCCTGTCTGATCTCAGACCTGCCTCGCCGGTGCCCCACGTCTGGCTATATTTAGCAAGCTCAACTCTGTTAACTAGAGTGACTGGGTCACCCCAGCCCTACCTCCCTTCCGGAGGACTCTGCAGGGGCCAGCTTCTCACACCTTTTAATCACGTCTTCCATTTCTCCAGGCAACCCACACAAAAGGCCTGGGCCAGGTGGTGATGATGCTCTGGCTCCTACACGGAGGCTCTATTTTCTGTTCTGCCTTCTTCCAGGCTGGGTAATTATGGATCTGTCCTCAGAGACGTTCTGTTTCTGAGAATGGGCTGTTAGAAAGCCCATCCACATTGAGCGGGTCTCGCCACTTCTGTCTGGTGTTACACTGCAGAGTACTATATCACAGACACACGGCTGCCTCTGCCCGTGTAAACGTGGTTGAGTGCACGCTCCGGCATGTGGGCAGTGTCTGTGCATGTGTGTGTGTGTGTGTATTGGTACATGAGCAGTGTGCTCATTGATCAGTCAGTATTTGCCAAGTGCCCACTACATGCCAGGCCAAGGTGCTCTGGGTGCAAGGCGCACCATCGTGAGGGGCAGGGGAAAGACAGCTGCGTCCCTGGTTTACATTTTAGTGACAGAAATAGTAAACCCCAAAGTCAGATCAATGCTAAGGAATGAAAGGTGCAGTGGGCTAGCTAGGGGTGGCTACTTTGGAGAGGGTCATCAAGCTCTGGAGAGACTTGAAGGCCTGGAGGCCAAGCATTCCAGGCAGAGGGAATAGCAAAGACAGAAGCCCTAGAAAGGGATGAGTGTGGTGTTTGCAGCTGGAGAGCCATAACGTGGTTGGGGGAGGTGGGGCAGCAGCTGGTAGGGATGAGAGCAGGGGCCAGGTCCTAAAAGGCTTCAAGGAGTCAGACCTTGGACTCTGCAGTTTCCTATGGGCCCAGTTTCCTATGGTGCCACTCATTAGCTGTGTGACCTTGAACAAGTTACTTAACCTCTCTGGGTCTCTGGTAGGGGGTGGTGGGAGAGGTATGACAGCACCTCCTTTAGAGAGTTGTGATGATCCAATGAGTTAACAGAAGTAAAGGGTTTAGTATACCACCTGTCTCAGAGTGCATAGCC